TCTATCTATCTATCTATCTATCTATCTATCTATCTATCTATCTATCTCTCTATCATCTCTCTCTCTCTCTCTCTCTCTCTCTCTCTCTATCTATCTATCTATCATCTCTCTCTCTCTCTCTCATCTATCTATGATTCTCTCTCTCTCTCTCTCTCTCAGATAATTTATACGGCTGCCTACTCGCATCCATCATTATCTATCTATATCTATATCTATATCTATATCTATATCTATATCTATATCTATCTATCTATCTATCTATCTACCCATCCATCATTCTCTCTCTCTCTCTCTCTCATCTATCTATGATTCTCTCTCTCTCTCTCTCTCTCTCTCTCTCTCAGATAATTTATACGGCTGCCTACTCACTCACAGCAACTCTCGGTGGCCTACAGATAATAAAAACACAACGTAGAAACAATAAGAACTAGAATAACTCTCCTCCCCAACACAGATGCCTCCTTTCAGGGCAGCAGTCAACGCAACCGTTCCAATGTTCCCTGAGCCATGGAGAGCGGACACTTCCGGCCCAAGGCCGGTTCCCTCTTCAGCCATGCGGGCTGGATTCCAGGGGTTCAGCCACTGCCCGGCCTGCAGTTTGGGCCTTACTCTCCGTGGCTATACAGCCGTGCCAAGGGCTTAGGGAAGGGGTGCGTCCAACCTTGGCAACTTTGAAGCATCCTGGGAGTTGGAAGTGCTCAGGTCTTAAGGCTGCCAAGGTTGGGCACCTCTCCTGTTGGTGGGAGTCCCTTCCCCCCTCCTCCTCCTCCTCCTCCTCCTCCTCCTCCTCTAAACCTTGTTAGCTCTCGGGAGTCTTTTTTCTGCTCTCTATTCAAGACGGACTGTGGTTAATACAAGCCCTCGACTTGCAACAATTCGTTTAGTGACCGCTTGACCTTACAACAGCACTGAAAAAAGGGACTTAGGACCATTTTCCACACTTACAACCGTAGCACCATCCCCAGGACCACATACCTGACTTAAATTCAGACAACCGACTTGTATTTTGAGGGGGTTGCTGCGTCCCCGGGGGGGGGGGGTCGACGCGATCCCCTTTTGCAACCTTCTGACCAGCAAAGTCAGCGAGGAAGCCAGATTCATGTCACGAATGTGCGACTAACTTAAGAACCGCTGTGATTCACTTATTGACGGTGACGAGAAAGGTTGTAAAACAGGGCAAAACTCATTTTGGGCTGAATTGTGGTCGTAGGTTGAGGACTCTGTGTGTGTGTGTGTGTGTGTGTGTGTGTGTGTGTGTGTGTGTACAGGTAGTCCTCGACTTACAGCAGTTCATTTAGCGACTGTTCAAAGTTAGAACGTCCCTGAAAAAAGTGACTTACGACCATTTTTCACACTTGCGACCCTTGTAGCTTCCTTGTGATCATGTGATGGAAATTCAGAGGCCCGGCAACTGGCTCATATTTACGACGGTCGCTGCATCCCGGGGGTCACAGGATCCCCTTTTGTGGCCTTCTGACAAGCAAAGTCAACGGGGAAGCCAGATTCACTTAACGACCTTGCTCCTAACTTAACAACTGCAGTGATTCGTGGAAGGAAGTTCGTCAAATGGGGCCAAGCTCCCTTAACAAAAACATCTCACTTAACAACAGGAATGTCAGGCTCAACTGTGGTCCTAAATCGAGGACTGCCTGTACGTAGATAGAAAAAGTTTTAGTGCCAGTTTTGTACAGCCTGTCATTTTTGGATCCTGCTGCTGTTGTGATATTACTACCGTTGTTGTCTTGGGATAGTGACGTTGTTTGGTGGGTGGCAGGCCTTCTCTCCAGAGTGGGGCTTCGGAAAGTCATTTTAAGGTGTGCCACATTGTGTCTCCTGTTCTGACTTCCGTCGGCTTCCTTAGAAAGCATCAAAGACGATCTTAAGTTCCCGGCGAAAGCTCTTTAATTCCCACGGCTGTGAATTACGTTCGTTCACGGCCGGCGAGGCTTCCCCAACAGCCTTTCAGGGGAAGGCGTAGAAACCCCCACCTTATGGCACTTGGAAGGCGGCCAGAGAACGAACGGCCAAACGCAGGGCAGGGCCAAACTTGACACAGACTCCCACAAGAACTTTTCAGAGCTTGAATCGGCCCGATGAGCTAACTGCTTCCCGCAAAAGCTCACGTCCCGTTCGCTCTTCTTTGATCTCCTAGGAGAGGGGCCAATCATCTCCGAGGTGTGGGCCTTACTCCTGAGTCGACCCTGCTTCCTCAAGGGTCCTTGTCTTCTGGGAGACCTGTGCATGTGCAGGCTGGGAACCGGTTCCGGAAGCTCCCCTGCCTCACTGCTGTCTGAACCCAAAGGCGGCTGCTGACTGCCTGCCTGCCAGGGCCTCTGATGCGGAGCCCTCCTCCGGGCCTTCCTCAGCCTCCAGAACCGGCCTAGGCTCCTCCCCAGCCTCTCCGCTACTGTCCGACTCTACTGCCAGCTCCGTCAGCCGCTGGTGGGCCACAGCACATACCGGAAAACGACCATGAAGGTTAGCGTATCCCGTCCTCAGCTTCACGCTGTGCGACGGCATCAGGGCGAGGTCGTTTCTAGAGCATTCTGTTTCCCCCCCCCGCCCCCCAGCCCCCGCAGGCCCAAGAGGACTTACTGTCCAGCAGCAGGTCAGTGATATCCAGCTCCAAGGAAGGGATGATTTTGCTGAACATTTTGTACTCCTTCCCAAAACGAGGCATTTGGAGAATAAAGCAGGACGGGATCTAGAGGGGAGAAAGGCAGCTGTGAGTGGCCCCGCCTGGAGACCAGTGGCCCCCGCGGAGGTCCGAGGTCACTGGCACCAGTTCACCCCCAGCATGTGGGCCTGCTCTTTCCCAGAGGCCCCCCTGGGTAGCTGTGGCTCTTCTCGTCTCTGCCTACAAAGCTCCTTCCTTCCTTCCTTTCTCTCTTCCTTCCTTTCCTTATTTCCTTCCTTTCTTTCTCTCTCTCTCTTCCTTCCTTCCTAACTTCCTTCTTTTCTCTCCCTCCCTCCTACCTTTTTTCTTCCTTCCTTTCTTTCTTTCTCTCTTTCCTTCCTTCCTTTCTCTCTCTTCCTTCCTTCCTCTCCCTCCCTCTTTCCTTCCTTTCTTTTTCTTTCTTTTCTTTCTTCCTTTCTTTTTTTCTTTCCATACTTTCTCTCCCTCCTTTCCCTTTCTTTCTTTC